AAAAAAAAAAAAAAGACATTGGGAAATGAGTATAGCTGAAAAAAGAATGGTAGGATATTGATAATTATTGAAACTAAGTGGAAGGATGCACAATGTTTATAAGCTATTTGTACTGTTTTTTGGTCCATTTGAAATTTGCTTAATAATGAGGTCTTTTTTTAAAAATTAATGCCAATCCTTCACAAGCTCTTCCAAAAACTAGAAGAGCAAAGAATGCTTCCCACTTCATTCTTTGAGCCAGTTTTACCCTGATACCAAAACGAAAGACATCACAAGAAAGCTTGCAAACCAGTATCCCTTGTGAATATGGATGTAAAAATCCTCAACAAAAGTACTAGCTACACAAATCTAGCTATATATAAAAAGGTTTATGTGCCATGACCAAATGAAATTTACCCCAGAAATGGTTGGTTTAACAACTGAAAGTCAATCCCTGCAGTGCCTATTACTAGAACAAAGGATAAAACCACATGCTCATTGCAATAGACAGAAAAATTATTTGAAAAAATCCAACACCCTTTCATGTTAAAAGCATCCAGCAGCAGAAGGCAAGTTTCTAAATCCAATAAAGAGCATCTGCAAAAAGTCCACAACTAATATCCTGCTTCATGGAGAAAGAATGCTTCCCCCTAAGATGAGGAACAAGACTAGGATATTTGCTTTTGTTACTTTTATACAACATTGTACTTGAGGTCCTACCCAGAGCAGTCACACAAGAAAAAGAAATAAAAAGTATCCAGATTAGAAAGTAAGAAGTAAAATAGTTTTCTCGTTGCCAGTGACATGGGGTCTTCTATAGGTAAATCCTAAGAAATCTTATCAAAAAATTTTGTACTAATAAATGAGTTCAGCACTGTGACAGGATACAAGATCAATAAACAAAAATCTATTGTATTTCTATATACTAGCAGCGAACAACCTAAAAATGAAATTAAGGAAATGATTATAATAAACCCAGAAAGAATAACATAAGTATAAATTTAACATAAGGTAAGACTTCTACACTGAAAATCACAAAACATTTTTGGAAGAAATGAAGGAAGATCTAAGTAATAGATGTCCTGTGCTCATGAATAGGAAAACAGTATTGGCAATTGTCTCCAAATTGATCTGCATATTCAGTACAATCCCAGTAAAATCATAGAGTTTTTTGTTTGTGTGGTTTTGTTTGTTTTTTGTGTGGCTTTGTGTGTGTGTGTATGTAAACTGACAAACTGATCCTAAAATTCATGTGGAAATGCAAGGGAACCAGAAGAGCTAAAACAATCTTGGAAAAAGTTAGAGGGCCCACACCTCCCAGTTTCAAAATTTACTACAAAGCTATAGTAATCAAGACAATGTGGTATCGGCATGAGGATAGACATAAAAAGCCAAAGGAAAAGAACTGAGAGGCTAGAAACAAACCCATACATTCATGGGCATTTGATTTCAACAAGGGTATCAGGACAGTTCAATGAGGAAAAAATAGTTTTTTTAAATGGTGCTAGGACAACTGGATTCCTATATGCAAATGAAAGAAGTTGGATCCCTTCTTCACAATATACATGAAAACTAACTTAAAATGGATCATAGACCTAACTATAAGAGCTAGAAGCATAAAACTTCTAGAAGAAAACTTAGGAATAAGTCTTCATGACCTTGCTTTAGACAGTGGTTTCTTAAATACAACACTAAAAGCAACAAAAGAAAAGATAGATAAATTGGATTTTATGAAAATTAAAACAAAGGACAGTATCAAGAAAGTGAAATCACATATAAATCATATATCTGATGAGAGAATTGTATCCAGAGACATAAAGAACTCTTACAACTCAGTAATAAAATGACAACCCAATTAAAACCGGTATAAGGATTTGAATAGACATTTCTCCAAATAGATGTACAGATGGCCCATAGCATGTGAAAAGATGCTCAACATCATTAGTCATTACGGAAATGGAAATTCAAACTACAATGAAATAGCACTTGTTTCTGCACATATTCATGTACAACTTTCATGCATGAATGTTCACAGCAGCCTTTTTCATAGTAGCCAGAAAGTAGAAACAACCTATATATCTATCAGCTGATGAATGAATGAACTAGTGTGGCATATGCATACAGTGGAATTTTACTGAGCAATAAAAATGAATGAAGTACTGATACATGCTACAACATGTATGAACCTTGAAAACATTATGCTAAGTGAGAGAAGCCACACATTGTATGGTTTTATGTACGTGAAATGTCCAAATAGGAAAATCCATAGAGACAGAAAATACGTCAGTGATTGCCAGGAGTCAAGGTGGAAGGATTAGAGAGCATGAATGGGAAATCACTACTAATGGGTAC